AAGAACATCGGAATTCGCCAGTATATATGAGCAATGTACAAGCATGCTTTTATCATAGCTGTATTTTAAGATAGGAACAAGCAAAAGATCTGAAACTATCACAATAAACTATTCTCATTGAGACCTTTCTCTATGCAAAGTTTCAAGTCAAAATTCGAAACTCAGTTTTTCAAATGTTCCTGAGGGGGACTACGGCTTTCTGTTTAAAAATGCTGTAAAAGTACAATATCTCGGCAGCAATAAGCTAGCAGCACGAACTCTTTTCAAGGTATTCATAGCTCATTAGGTCCTACATTATGCACATACGTCCGACTTGAAAGCGATTTGACAGGTGGAAAGGTTCCCTCGTTAGAATTAAATAAAGAGATATTTTTTTATTTTGTTAAACGTTTAATATTCTGAAGGATTCTATCCTTACTAATAAAATCGGTGAATGATCTTCTATTCAATGAATCACATGTTGCAAATCCTTATGAAAATAATAAGATTCAGATGAGAGTATGAGAATCATCAATACGATGAATAAATTTTTACATTTTATGACGTTTTTTGATTCCATATTTCATTTATCATCGTCTTATCTTTATCTCAGTTCGAAGAATAGGACACGTATATGTTGCGTCATATTACGATACAAAATAGTAATGTTTTATAGAATATTATAAGAGTTATTGTCTGATTCTATAGACAAAATTGACTAAAAATATCCTTATGTTTTTGTGTACAGAATCAGGAAATAACTATTATAATATTTTAGAATAAAATATTTACATATTTGTGATAATGGACAACCCTAATCATGATATATAGACTTTAGTATTTTTTTCAGGCAAAATTTTAGGTAACTCGATGCGTTCTATCGAACTACACTTAATAAATTGAAAATAAAAATTTGCTAAAATATTGAATGTCGATTCATGATAAAAGAAGATCTTTTTTTTTTTTAATAGTTCTTATTAGTAGTTTACTTAATTATTTGATTGATATGTGTCTAGGCTATTGGATCTTTCAATGCTGAAGAACGTACTCGTTTTCTTCAATTCGTAACTGGTACATCTCGATTACCAATGAATGGTTTTCGTGAATTGTGGGGTTCTTCTGGTCCACAATTATTTACTATTGAAAAATGGGGTGATCGAACAAAATTACCACGTGCTCATACATGGTTTGTGATTTCTTTTGGTTATTTATAATAATATTTATTTATTGTTTATTTCTCTTAGCTTTAATCGTCTTGATCTACCACCTTATGAAAGTTATCAAGAATTACGTCAAAAATTGATTCAAGCAATGGAAATGAGTGAAGCATTTGAAGGTGTTGATTGATTTAACAATTTTTGTTTTGTTTTCTCATTTATCTACAGTAGTTGCAAGTCTTTCTTCTATCAATATCTTTATGCACTCTTCTTCTATTAGATCATTTCTAAAAAATAAAAACAACAAAACCAAGTTCAAGATTTCTTCTCTTTTTTTTTCTGATGTCTATGTATAGTGAAAAAAATTCAATACTTACTTAATCATCTAGACTTTAACAATATTACTGTTATTTATGATTATTATTTTTTTGTTGTTGTTTTTTTTTTGCGCGATTTATTATGTTGTCAGTTTTATTTGCTATCAACGTCCGTGTGCATGTTGTTTTTTGATCATTTTTTGTTGCGATTTTTTTCATTGAAAATTATATAACTGCTCTTGTTGCTCGGTGTTTTTTGTCATTTTTAGTTTGGTTTCATGTTCTTCTTATGTATATTCAAGCGTTTGGGAGAACATGATTGATGATGACAAACAAACAAATACTTTATTTTTTTTTTCTTAAATTTTTAGATGATAAATAACTATAGGATTCAATCATTTTGATTCAAAAGGGTAATCTATTTTCGTTCTCTGATTGATAAAAAAAATATTCTAAATCTTAGAACGTGTAGAAACATTTCAACAGCAAATAAATAATATTTATTCGTATAAACGTAAATTTATCTCAAATCAAACTGGAATAAATCGATGGTGTAGAATAGAAAATAAAAATAAGATGCTACTATATCTTAAGTATAAAGTGGCACAAAATAAAAGGAATTGTCTTTTGGTCATTTTTCATTGTAACTAAACGAGCTGAGAGTTGAAGTAGAACTAAACATCCATCTCTGTTGAGAATAAGATTTTGGAATTCTTGTCTGAATCTAAAGCATTAGAGGCTAACAGAATTTATTTTATTCGTTTAATGCATCATTTGATGATAGAACCAGCATTCCAACTGAATAATATCTCACTTTTTTATTTATCTATTTGATGTTGAAATACTATTAGTTCGAATCTGTCTAGATGACAACTGAATACGAAAGTCTAATTTTATGTTGTGAGAAATACGGGACAGTAGTTCTTAATAATTAAGTATTCAGCTTATTTGTATTGAATAAAAATGAATGAAATTCTACTTTTACATGGATATATAAAATCGATAAACACAATTTATTGAAATTGAATTATTAGATTATCTTTGATTTTTCATGGCTATGAGTTGGATAACAATGTTTGGTTGGATCTTATTACCACAAATTGGTGGCATACTAGGTGGACTTATAACAGCAAAACAAGTCAAAACTTGGTATGAAGTAGGTTTATTTAAAAAAAAAAGAAAAGAATTTTATGTAGTGATTAAATTATCTATAACAGAAACTTTTAAAACCATCTTGGCGTCCACCAAATGCAGTATTCGGTCCTGTTTGGACAATACTCTATCTATTTATGGGCATTGCTTCTTATTTAGTTGCTCGTGATGGTCAAGGATCATTTAAAACACTTGCATTAACATTTTATTTCATACAATTATTTCTTAATTGGTCATGGACACCAGTTTTTTTTGGTCTTCATCAATTAGGAGCTGTAAGTTCAAACAAAATGAATAAAAATTGATAATGCAAAAAAAAAAATATTTTTAGGCTGTTGTTATCATACTTATTTTATTTATAAACATCTTTATTTGTATATTACAATTTTGGCAAATTAATTCATATGCTGGAATGCTTTTAGTACCTTATCTTATTTGGGTTGGATTTGGTAAAGTCACATTATTAGTCTCAATTTTTTTTTTTTGCATAGATTATTCTCATTTTAGCTTCAGCATTGACTATGTCAATATGGCAACTCAATTCGCCTTATGCTCAACCACCACCTCGCCGACCACGACCAGTATCAGATCCATATCAACAATAACACTTTTTGTTTCTTTTCTTTTTTTTTCTAATCTTGCAATAATTTGTCAAAAAACAGATTTATTTATTTATTTTTATTTCCGCTTGTAGATTTTGCTAATTGTTATGAGTTTATCTAAAGCCGCTATTGGATTAACAATTCTACCACATTTAGGTAAAAATATTTTGTCCTTTAATTTCTACAAGTATATATTATATTATATATAGGTGGTTTTCTTGGTGGTTATATTACAAAAAACAATATTAAAGACTGGTATATTTAAAACCAATAAAATAAAAATTTCAAAAAAAAAAAAAAATTTTATTATTTTAGGTATGAACATCTTGATCGACCAGGATGGAGACCACCAAATTGGGCTTTTGGACCTGTTTGGACATCATTATATACAATGATGGGTTATGCATCATATCTTATATATCGAGATGGTTTGGGTGATAGTCGTACTCGTGCTCTTACTCTTTATGGTTCACAACTTGTATTGAATTGGCTTTGGACACCACTCTTTTTTGGCTATCATAAAATGGGACTTGTAAGTTGAATATATTTTTTCAAAAGATATTAGAGTAATGTTTTTTTTTTATGATTATTTTAGGCATTTGCTGAAATACTTGTACTATTGTCAAATATTGGTTTATGTATTGGTGCATTTTATCCAATCAATCGAACGGCTGCTTATCTTTTAGTACCTTATTTTGGTTGGGTATCGTTGGCTTCAGCATTAACATATACAATCTGGCAACGCAATAAAGATAGAAAAATTTCGTAAACATCTAGTGAAATCATTCAAGTGAAAAACAGAATAAAAAATTTTGTGCACTTAACCCATTGATCACTGTCATTAGTTAATTTGATACGATAATTTGAAATGAATAAAAGATTTAGATATAGGCAATCAATACTCAAATGAATATCTTTTGTTTTTGTTGTATATAAAAATATTTACGAACGATTATCGTGATTTATTAGATTGGATTTTAATGTGAGATGAAACAATCTGAAAAGACGAATTTTTGCCGATTTTTATTGAAAACCAAGTTTCATTACATAATTCAGAATTTATACTCTTCTAACTAAAACGCTCTCTGATAGTCACGTTGACTAAAGATTATCATCAGTTGACAAATCTACATGTACAATTATACTGAACAGTTTTGAATAGCTTCCACAGTAAAATGAGATGATCTGCGTGTACAGAAACTTGTTTCCCTTCTATTTGACAAAGGATTACTTTAGTATGTAGAAATAAAAAAGTAATGTTGTGCTGAACTATTCATCCATTGTCGTTGTCATGAATCATATAATGATCGAATTGTAGTTTTTACAATGCTGATGGCACAGTCACAAAACACTTCCTTTCATTCCAATCAATAGCTCATATTTTCTCTTTTACTTGTTTTCAAGTTCTATAACTGACAGTATCGATCTCAATACAAATCAAAGCATTCAAATTCAAGGTATACATTAAGAGAATAGACGTTTTCATAAACAATATTTATTGATAATAATGATAAAACAAAATACATAAAAAGACACACGAAACAAATTACATTCTTAAATAAATTCAAAAAATGTTCTTAATACAAAAACTAAGTCAATTATATTCTCATGCTTTTTATGATTTTATATAATTATTGAAATTTCTTGTTTGTTAAACATAATACTTTTACAGAGATCCAATTGTTTTACATGTTAAATTAGTTCTTGTTACATACATATTTATATATACAATATATCAAATTTCATATTAATTAACTTATTCCTATTTTTTGTTTTTGTTTTTCGAAACTACATCATTGAACAAGTGTTAATGATGAAGCTTTCTTATGACCACGACGTATTTTTTCTTGAAAAAGTATAAATATATGTTTAACAGCATGACTCATAACACAATAACATAAAGGATTAATTGCTGAATTAGATAAAGAAAATAATTGAAATATTGGATTGACATAAAGTACAAGAAACATTTTCTTATCTGTATTTGATACATATGATGAATAGAAAGCTATTTGATCTTCATTAGATCCTAATTTAGTTGTATTTTTATATGTATTTTCAGGTATATATGTATTAGATGTTATATCAATATAAATTGTTAAAATATTTAATGGAAGTCTTGTAATAAAAAAGACGATCACTACAAACAAAGAAAAAAAAATATTTTAATTTTGTTTTTTTTTTATAGAAAAATTTTATTTACCTAAAGTAATAAGTAATTTAACAACTCGTCGACGACTTTGTAAAAATCGACTTGCATTTTCAAAATCAAACATTGATCGACGTGGTTGATTATTACCATTTGATATACGATTTTGATTTTGTAATGATATAACACTTGAACGAAGTATTCCAGTTGTATATTGACTTATTGAACATCGTTGACATATTGATATTGATCGTTGTTGTTTATTTAATTGAATATTATTTGTATTTGATTTATAATTATTTTCACTAAAACGTCTTGGCATAATATTTAATGAATGACGATGTGTAGTATTATCATCATTTAATAATGTAGTTTGTCGTTGACGATTTGGCATTAATAATGAACGATAATCATCTAATTGTTGTCGATTAAGATTATTTTCATTTGTTTTATGATAATGAACACATAATGGACGAGTATTTTGTCCTGCATTTGTTCGAATATCATTTAGAAAATCTTCAGATATAGTTGAAAAACGTCCTGTATTAATTGTTGATAATGGTGTTTGAACATTTGAATCAATAAACCAAAGAGAAAAACTTATACGAATATAACAATATGTCATTAATGTTAATGGTACTATAAAAAGAACGAAAAGTAATATAAAATCATAGACTAATCGAGCATTCATATTTTGATGCCATTCTTCAGCGCATGCTGTTAATGTTATTTCAAATGGATCGACTATTCGATGATGTAAAATAAGTGGAATCATCAGAAGAAATGCTATATATAAAATATACAATTGAGAAAGAGCTTTTTTTAGAAAAAATACATTATTTAAGAAATTTACATACAAGCAATCCATGTCATTCCAATAGTGATTATTACGCGTGTTGGAGTACAGAGTAATTTTGAGTGTATTGGTTTATGTATGGCAATAAAACGATCAATACTGACTAAATATTGAAAGAAAATAAATTTAATCCTAGAAAAATTCTTCATTGCGAAACTATTTACCAGCCATTAATGTAAAAATTGATACTGCAACCGATGTACCTAATACATTTTGTTAAGAAATAGAAAATCTCTATCAATTCTAAGTATAATTAAAAAGGATGAATACAATATTAATAAGACGCGAAAAGAATTCTTGCCATTCAGATGAAAGACATGATAATTAGGTTAGATTTTAATATGAAAGAAATTAATGTTTGTGTCTTCATCATACTATAGAACATAATACTTCTCATTTAAATATTGTTTAAAAGTGCAAATATGACTGGCACGTCTCTTTACATCTATAAATTCAAAAGTTAGAAATAAATCGAATTAATTTTGTGTAGAACCTAAATTGATTTTTCCTACAGACAATCTTTTACATTTGTTCTTTAATATTATCTGAAATTTCTTTATTTTTTTTACCTTGCATAAATGGTACAAATCGACAAAGAAATTCTCCAAATATCCAACGTTTATCATAATAATGATAAGCAGTCGGTGGTAAACAAACTAATGTTGCAATAAGATCTGATATAGCTAAATTAAGTAAAAAACGATTTGTTAATGTACGCATACGTCGACGTTTTATAATCATAACAATAACAAATATATTTGCTATGAGTCCAATAAGAAATATAATTGCATAAATGAAAAAAAGTATAAATGAAAATAAAAAAGATGTATGTATTTGAACACTTTTCATCCAAAGTAAATTTTGTTGATGAGAATAATTTTGATCTGTTTTTAAGCCTTGCAACATCATATATATATATATATATATCTACTGATGATGAAATAAAAAGAAAAATAAGAAATATTCAATATAAAAAAACAAAATAATAATACAAAACAATTAGTCATCAATTCATTGAAGCGAAAGACAATAATATACTCTTCGTATTCTCAAAATATTCATCCTGTTTTTCATTATTCACTGTCATATTTATACAAAACTGATTGATCGAATAAAAAACAAGCGGTGATCATTCGGCCAAAATGATTGAACCGACCAAAGCAATAGAAAAAAGCTAACAAATAAGTTTATGAGAAAATATATATGACATTTTTTCAAGTATAATAAAAACAAAAGTTCCTAACATATGATTAGTAAGTATTTAATTAAGTACATTCAACTTGAAGAGATTAATAACAAAAAGAAAAGTAGAAGTATGTGTAAATAGATGTTCAAAGAAAAATCATACTTTTTTTTACAGATCTTAGTTTATCACTGATCGAAAATCATATTTATAGCTGTTGAATGTGCCTACATTAATGATCATATCAGTGGAAAACTTACGATGCTTTTAAAATGAGATCTTTTATTCATTAGAAGAAAGGCTGATTTCAAGCTGAAATGATGAAAAAAAATTCACACATGATTTGACTTTCTTCAAAGAAACTATTCTATGAAAAGGAGAAAATAAATATATATACTTTTCTACAACTTATCTTACCTTTCATGTCCTTTACAGTAGAAATATTCTGAGAAAAACGCTATTCTTACACATCCTGCTATTGACAATGATATTAATAATGATGCTTCTCTTTTGTCAATGTTGTTGAGTCTCTTCTCTCTCTCTCTCTCTCTTTTTTTTCTGTTCGCACTCCATAACAAGACTACTATTCATATGCAACTCTTAGTCGTTCGTCATTTTATTTCCGATTCAGACCTATGTAAATTTCTAATAGTCAAACCTTGGGCTATTTCATTTATTTTGGTATCAGCTTGATATTTCAATTTTGCATATCAAATTAGTTCTTTCGTTTTTTACATCAAGAAGAAAAAAAAAAAGGAAATACTTTGTCTCTATTAAAAGCACCTAAAAATTCTTTGCCTTTTGACAGAATGATTATTAGGCAAATTTGACAAAAATTGAGTTCGTCAGGAAATGAAGTCATATATAGGCTTGCATGCATTTGACATATTAAAACATGCAAATGTATAATAATTTCATGCTGAGATATACAAGCCAGAGTTCTAGTTTTATTAATCAAGGATATTATAAACTTCGATATATAAAGAATAATAAACTATTCAATGAACTTATATTTAATTCAAATTTCATCGACATTAGAACATGCTTTTCTGTTGAACTTATCTATTTTTTAATGAAGAAGATGCATAACTTTTTTGTCAAATGTCATAACCTTTTGATTCATTTAATATCAACGAACTAGATAATAAAGCAACAATTAATAATAGATTTAATGAATTTTTTCATGTAAAAGTTTCTAAAAAAATTCTTTTGATATTATGTCAAATAGTTTTAAAAGAAGAAAAAAAAAATGTTCATAACTGTCACAGTTGATTTTTTTTATAATATTCCAATCACAATATAAAAATACGTTATTGAAATTACTATATTTCCTTTCAGTAAAAATGATTTCAGAAGGAAAAATCTGTTGGTTCAATGAGAATCACGCGATAAAATTCGATAAGATAAGTAAATTTTTATGTCTAGTATCAATTGACACTTGAAAAATATAGCGTGAAATAAGAAGAATATTAAAAAAAAATGATAGTTTTAATTATTTTTACTGACATATCCAGATCAAAAAAACATAACAGTTATTTTCTAAAAATAAAATCTTCAAATTAATTATTTATGAATTGTTTCATACTTTCTTTATCTCTCAATTACGTGTTACTGAAACTATTTTAACTAATAATTTTTCTCATATGAGAAATATCGAAGATGTATTTGATTTGAAATTTCAATCAAAATTCATATTAACAAACAATAAATAATTGATCTATTAATTTTGCGTTTTCAAACCTAGTTTGCAATTTCCTTTGATTACAACTGAAAGCTCATACATGATTCAAAGAACTTATTCTACTACCATGATGACATTCATTAATTTTGAATATCAATTTAATTTCATATACAATTGATATGTCTTCAATGAGTCATTTTGTAAACTTAAGTATTTTTTCTTTGAATAAATATAAAGTTAAAAATTATTTTAATAATTAATTAACATTTAGTATAAAATTTGTCTAAATAATAATTTACAACAACACTCATAAAATTGTTTATATTTATATAAGATACTTCATCAATGAATATATTTCTATACAAAAAAAAGAAAAACCACAGAAATTTATTTAGTTATAATTATTTTATTATGAATCGTTATAATCTTTCAAAAATACAATTGATTAACTTTCACATACTCAAGAAATTTAAACATTCATTATGAACTCGTAGTTTGATTGCTTTCAAAATATTCTTTGTTACCAAAACAAAAAAAAAAAAAAAGGAAAAATCATATTTTTCAGTTCTGTTAGAATTTTTTCTACATGTTCACACATAATGCCTAATCTTTAAAGCTCATCTCTGTTGCTCGGCTGCAAAATTTTCTTCTATGTACATACTTTCATCAAATGTTGTGTTGACTGCTTTCTTTCATTTTTTTTTTTCTTCATTTAATAGAATAGAAGTCCTGTAAAGATGGATACTGATATGGATCGATCACATTTACAAACAGCAAATCGTTTTGGACAATTATCAAAAAATATGTTCTTTGCACGGCATGTTCCTCAACCAAAATATTTAAAATTTATTACAGGTAATCAATGTTATTTATATTGAATTATTAATTCATCTTAAAATAAAATAATTAAGGAACTGCTGGTGTTAAAGTATGCCATGTACGAGATGACGTGCCCCATTTACCAGCAAATCCATCAGGTGAATTAGCTAAGTCATTACTATCTGATCCACGTTTTACTATTGAGTTTCCACCGAATTCCTATAATGAAGGTTTACTTCGATCTTATGCAGAAAGAATTCAACCAAAAAGACGTCGAGAACGATTTCTTCCTCCTATACGTGGTTGGAATCCATCTGGAACGGTATGTTACAGACTTTGTTTTTTGTTTTGTTTAAAAATCAACTAATCATTTCTTTTAAAATTTATAGGTAGGTAAGTATCATTCAAAATAACCATAACATATATTTCTCTTTGTTTTTTTTTTAAATTAGTTGAGGATACAGAAAATTGGCGACGTGAATTATCACGTATTGCTGAAATGGTTGGTTTAGTAACAGCTGAAGAATTAGCTGATATTGAACATAAAAGAGAACCACCATCATCACCACTTAAAAGAACTGCATCAAAAACATCGAATGGTGAATATAGTCAACGAACTGGTCGATGGAATGAAACACCTAAAACATTAAGTCGTAGTCGATCATTACGTGGACGAACACCACTTTCAGCTCTTGTACCTACTCATCTATTTTGTGTTGATGAACAAGAACGAGAAATGTGGGTAAGATTATCAAGTTTTGTTTCTTTTTTTGTTTTACACAAAAAAAAAAAAAAATCATATTTTTCGTTTATTATTTTTTTTTCTAGATGCTTCAAGTACTTTGTCAAATTTTAAAAACTGAAGATATTAATGAAGTACAATCTTGGCTTGTTTCATCAAGTTCAAATGGTTTGTTTGTTTAGTTTATCTTTTGATTTTTATATACATTGTATTCATTTTATATATAAATATTATATTAGAAAAAGAGGCTGTACGTCAATTAATTACAACAGCAATTAAAGGACTTGAAGAAAGTGGACGTATTCAACCAACTGCCTATTTTACTGAAAATGCGATGTCTGTTCCAACTAATTTGGATACATTGGGTTCATCAATTTCGAATAAGTTAATAAAACACATTAAAAAAAAATATTTTCTTAAATTGTTAACGTTTAGATTTCCAAATACTCCATCAAATCAATCTGTATCGTTAATTAATGAAAATACAACAAAATCTAATTCTCGTCCACGAACAGCTCCACAAGTACAATCGACAACAACAACAAATGATTTTCAAAGTAAATCAACTCGAGTATTTCAAACAAATCTTGAACCAATTGATGAAGAAAAGAAAACAAAAACATTTGTACCACAACCAACAAAAGTTGATAGTAAACGTGATATACAAGTTCTTACATTAAATGATGATGGAAATCATAATCAACAATTATCAAATAGAGATAAAGATGAAGTACCATTCTAAATTATGTTTATCATAAAAGAATAATTGAACTAAATTTAATATTTATTTATTCAAATAAATGAGTGATCTACTAACAACTAGATGATAATATTTTTTATTTTCAAAATATTCAATAAGATTTCTAAGAATTATAGTTAGACTTATTATTAGTCAAATTAAAAATATACTGAGTTTACATCGAATGAAAATTTCCTAGTCTCTACAGAAAAGATATACAGATAGTCTAAAATGTATCCGGACACCTATATATCTTGATTTTCGAAGTGGAAACAAGAGATATTATTTTTCTTTTTTCGTCAGTAGATAGTCCTCACTTCATACTATATTCTCTATAAAAATAAACAATTTTGATTATTATCTCGAATTACGAGAACGTTTCTCATTGAAATGTTCGATTTTCCAATATGTTAGGTGCTCGCTTTTCGAACATTACAATTATATTATTTGCACACCGCTAGAACAAGCAAAGCGAGCTCTATCTGTTGGCATAATATTTCAATGAAGAAAGTTAATTTTCACAATATGAACTATTTCAAAAGAAATCAGATTCTTCAACATGCTTAATACGAAAGTGCGAGTAAAAGATCACAATGAATTTTTTATCAAAATTAATTTCCAAATATACCGTTAGAAAGCCTGTCAAAAGTTGCGCAAGACAAGGACTATATACTGGCGAAAAAAGAAAAAAGTGTATCTCTTGTTTCTGCTTCGCAAGCCAAGAAATACGAAAAACCATGGAGGT